ACTCCAACTCCAACGTCATTAAGTCTTGTATTGAACTTCTTTTATACTTGTTACAGGTTGAACCTGAGTTTATTGAAGGCCCACTTGGCCAGGGTATTCGGAAGAGGAAATATCCGTGGAAGTTGCGGGCCATATACACGCCCACCGACCAACGTGGTATCAAAGTTCAAGCGTACAACCCTACATGCCCCATCCCACCGCTCCTGGACAAGGGGTTCCAGAAATGGATGGACGACCCATCAACCAACGGCAATTCTCGTTCAACGTCCGTCGGGATTAAATACAAGAGTTGGTTTGGCCTGCTCCTGGATCCTGAGTTTCAACTCGATGACGAGGTTAGTGAAGTTTAGAAGCAGCAAAGTTGTTTTTAATTATAGACTTATACTTTTTATAATGTCACATGCAATATATCGACTCGCTCATGATGTTAACGGCGAGGAAGGTTGAGAAGTGTAAACATCTATTGTGCGTGCGATTCGCAATAGGCGACGTACTTCTATCAATAAGTTCGGCTTACCTTTCACCCATGTAACGAACGATATTACTTCGATACGTGAATGACGTTTGTGGGGGGTTTTTTTTGCAGAACTTGCTACGACGAACAGACGGACCATATGCAGCTATGAAGCCGGGTGTCCTGCCGTCAAAATGTACGTATGATTGGAGGCAAGAGCGTACCATCTTTCGGTACGTGCTTGGTCGACAATCGGACTACGAACCCCATGGAGCGAGGCTGATATCGTGTACACACCGATGAATATTGGCGGCAACCACTGGGTCATGATCGGGATTGATCTTGTGGAGGGTGATTTAACCGTATGAGACTCACTACAGTCGATCACCCCGTTGGATGATCTCGAGAAGGCGCTCAAGCTAATGTGCACGATAATCCCGGCGATTCTTCATTGGAGCGGGATGCTCGCACTTCGGCCTAACCTGCCCACGGTGCCGTGGAGGGTCCGAAGACGTATTGTACCTCAGCAAGCCGGGTTCACAGATTGCGACATATTTTGTGTTAGATTTTTCGAGTACGATGTAACTGGGTCAAAGATGGACACTTTGACTCAAAGTAACATTTCTTTATTTCGTCGTCAATATGATGTACAAATGTGGGCTCGCAGACCCTTTTTTTAGTTGTAATTATTCTTTGTATCGATTTTTTTTCCACCGACCTAAATATGACCTATCATAATTTGTTTTAGCATACTTATTTTTAGCTGTAGTCACTGATGAACAGTAACATAACATAAAACACGTTTGTAATCATATATGAAAGAATAGCAACCTATTGTTCATGCATGTGCATGGATTCTTACTTGCGGTACAAGCTACCTATTCATATCTACCAAAATACAATGTATTAGTCCTTCTAATAAATTTTTGTTTGAGGTACATAAATGTCTACATATTACAACATAAATAGCCATAATATTGCTACACAGTATTTAGTGGTTCGCGACAAGTTTTACGATTGTGTCCCGACGTACCACATCAACTGCACTTGCGCGGTGGACGGACCTCGCCTGTGGTAGGAATCCTCACCGTCTGTCGCCGTCCAACCCTAACAACCTTCT